AATATATATATATATATATATATATATATATATATATACTCGCACCTAAGGAAGATTCATATATAGCAAAAATATCCATTAACAGTCACAAAAATTGCCCTAAACTAGACCTAAACATAGAATTTGATTAGTTCATTTACAATTTCACAAATTTATACGAGATGACATTGTCGTGCATAGCATAGATGTTCAAAATATTCTAAACAACAAGAATTTTTTTGTGAGCATTCACAGAAACCCGCTGTGAAAAGAAATAGGCATGACTGAAGAGAAATTCACATTCAGAGATCATTATCATTCGCTTTCCTTGAAAGAAATGCAGAGGTTGCATGTCTTCATACACTTCTTGGCTCTTATTCGTTCGTAAAATGGATCCGTGCAAAATCCGTTCCGCGCATACTTGTCACATCGAGGATCCTGTAACATCATAGACAGTCGGCTGATGTTATACGGAACAGAAGCTCGGAGCTGGATCATTGAAACTATAATATTTACGGGGTATTGCGCTTAATACGGGAAGCATAACAATAACTGTAGGAGCCTCTTCAGAGCAGCGAACACAACCAGGCATTCTTAGTCGGACTGAAAGTCTTAGGTACATATCGTCAGGGACTCACTTCGGAAAGCAATGCAAAGCGAAAGGCCAAAACCGGAGTAGACAATCGTTAGGCTTAACAAGCCTCAGAAGTGAAGCAGCTACATTTCACAGAATCCGTTGCTCTGAGCTCCATCGACAAATGAAGATCAAGCACGCTGTTGCTAACAGTAAGGAATCAAAGACCAGGTAGCCCGAACACGTCATGCAGTTTTCTAATGGCCGTTGGATTAAGGTGGTTATTGACCTGACCCTCGGGAACATTAAAAGAACAGCATGACGGCTGCAAGTCTCATGGTCGGACTTCTTCAAGAAAATTTTGAACAAAAAGAATGCTATATCACGTGTCCTTCAAGCAAGAAAGGTTCACTGACCACTTTGGCTTACGATAGGAACCAATGTAGACGTTACTGATGCCTACTTGAGAAAACTGATGATCCTCGAGAGACGGCACAGATGACACATTCAATAGGAAGCACTCACTACGTCTTTTTTCTAACAGCCCAAGGATAATTAATAGTTTTCCAGTCCCAATGTGATCTTCGTAATATGTGACTCACGTGGGAGCCCTTTTAAGGTATGTTCACCGCTAACCTAGCGATGCCCGATTATTTCAACACAAAAATGTGTGATGTCAGCGGCTCATCTGCTTGAACAAAATACCAAATCTAATGGGATTGAACCCTGTGCATCAGTCTAAGAACAAGCACAGTCTTGAGCGAAGGCACCTCTTCCTTTTCTTGAACGTTAAACAAATTCTACTCGTAGTGACTTTTTCAGGTTAGCCGTGGCATTCAGTCCACCTTAAGGGATGAAATTCCTAGGTGGGCTGAGTCTAGTTCTCTGCTGATTGAAGCATCACACAGCATTTCTCAGCATCGCTACTTCCACAATGGCGATGGATTACCTCATGGAGGGAGCAATTCAACATTGACCTTATAAGTCCTGTTCACAGTTGGGACTGAGGCGCAGACGATTTTTTCTACCCGGTTACTCATTTTATCAAACATGGCCAATTCAAACAAACTTCATCTTTGCACGTCGGCGGAGCATCATCAGCGCCGCTATCTTTAGCAGGTAGAGGCCCTTGAATCGAATGTGAATTCGAGTTAAAACGCCCTGTAGATCGCAGCCCACAAAGACGACATGTTTTCTGGCAGTACTTGAGCATGGCTTGCAGATGAGTTGACGACGTTGAACATAATCCATTCTGAAAAATAGCACCGTCACTATGATGGGGAATAGATTTGCAATGGATTAGTCTCTACCTTTTTGAGTCTTTCACAATTCAATGCCGTATCCGCACAATTGCTGTCCTCTTCCTTTTCATGGAGGTCTGAAAATGAGGTACGATAAAACGCACTAGATTTGAGCTAAGCAATATTTGCAGTGCTAAGGGAATTTTCGAATGCGTATTCAGTTCATACAGTGGCTTCCGTAGAACAGGGTACCTCAAGATTTCCTCGTCCTCAGTTACTTCAATGGTGATGGTCTACCACCATTTGACGTGACGTAATATCTATTCTTTAATTATTATAGTACGTCATCGAAATATTATAGTACGCTTTGAAAGACAAAGTTAAAGAAAATAAAAAGTATCAACAAAAATCTGATAGAAAATCCCTGTTAAATGGAGATGATGATAGTGAAAACTATGCCTGAAGAATAATGGTTACTGTAAAACGTTTCAATGATGCTTGAGAGCCAGTAGCTTCGCTGGGCCCATGAGTGCGAGTTCTTTGGTATAGAAGTAGAGATTTGCAACCGATCACTCCTGGTTTCTGACGTAGGGCATTAGGGTGTAGGATAGATTTATTAATAATGTAACATGAATAAATCGCTCTACGCCGCCCCCCCACCCCACCCCTTCCAACTTATCGTGAATTTCACCACTCCACTGCGCATAAGAATATAAGGAGCATGTTCACTTCACTGAGCGAAAAATAAAT